CAATGGCTTGAAATCAGCGCCTTTACTTTAGGCGTCGCCAGGTTCACGTCACGGCATGTGCATGACCGCCAGTTCAGGCGTAAAGCATTGAAACATCTTGATCATGAATTTCCATGCAAAAATTCTTGGCAATCAACTTGCTTTGTGCAAGCTCGCGGAGCAGATCCGTCAAGGAGGCTCCTCGAGCTTGAGGTGAAATTCTGTGAGTTCGCTCCACAGGGTTCACGGAAAGCCGCAAGCTGGATAAGGTCCGGCTGCTCTGGAAGATGGCTTTCGCACTCCTGGGGTGCTTCTGGAGCTTCATTATCACTGTTTTCCTCTCCGCCCTCATCTTCGTCCTCGTCGTCTTCTTCCTCTCTGCGGCCCACCAATGCCGCAGCCTCCTTCTTGTGGTCGCTCTGAGGTCTCTGAGCAGGTGCTTCCTCCTCTACTTCTTCTTCCGCTTCGTAGTGCTTTATCAGCTTCTCGCCGAAGCGGCACACCTTCGTGCCTGGCACGAGCAAGCATTTGACGGCGGCGAAGATCTTCTGCCGGGGGGCCAGCATGCGCACCCCGTGCTGGGAAAGCCATTCCGGCGTGATTGCTTCCAGCCCGCCAGCGGCTGCAAGCTCCTCCGCGTGCTCGGCAACCAGGCCAGATAGATTTTCCCGCTTCACCCACTCGCGGATTTGCTGTGCTGTCCAAGCCATTTAGCTCAGCAGGTGGCACTGCTCATGAGCAACTCATCGGCTCGAATGCTGAGCAAAGTGACTAGACCTGTGGCAGTGCTAGTGCTCGCCTTCTGGCAGACAACCTAAAGAGTTCTGCTTGAATGCGTCCGTTCAAAAGTCCTACAGAACAAGCTCTGAACTCATGAGAGGGTCTGGCAGCAGATGAGTGCCCTACATTTGTGGATGTTCCATCTTGAGGTGCTTAACATCACGTGTGCCATACACTGTTGATCTCAGCTAGCAAGTTCGAGACATCATCACAGCAACAAAACAAGTTTCACACAAGAAGCATGGGCGGACGGGGCACTGAACTCTGAGAACGCCTCCCAAAACAAACCCGGAAGATGCTTTTTTTGAAGCACGTCAACCTCCAAAACATGCAATCTAGCCTGCCATTCATCTAGGCAAGAACTGTCCAAATCAATATGTCAGCAATCAGCAGCACAGTGGTGCTCGTGCAGTGCCATCCAGCTCCATTCATGGAACCAGCCAATACTCTGGCCAGCTGAGATCTCGCATTCACATCGTCAGAGCTTCTTAGAGAACCCTGCGCCTTAAACCCGCTAAATCTTAAAGGAAGCATTACAACCATCGCACAATCTTAGGAAACCCTGCGGTGTCTGTTCACATACCCGAGTCAACCCTTACAACTCCATAACTCCATGAAGCCCAAACTAGCCCACATACACTACATTATGAGCCTCATGCAACACTATAGAACACCCAACATTGGTAAGGCCGCAACTGGCATGGTGGGGAAGTGGTGAATGAAGATCAGGCTCAAGAGCACCATGCACAAGCACACCTTCCGCCATGCTTCCACATTTGGGCTTCAGAAACATGCGGTAGCTTCTATATAAGTAGGCGCACCAATATATAGATCCCAAAATTATAATCCTCCTTGCTATGGGGACCTCCAGAATGGTATCCCTAATCTTCGGAAATACCCATGTAATGTACAGTCGAGGTTTGAGGGCTTCAGGCGTTTGAGGACAGACCTTCTTTCGGATGTGGTGCATGACGCGAATGTGCTCCCAGCATACATCAGCACGGTCCTCTTTATCTCGATGAAACACGAAATCTTAATATCCCCTTCTAATGTCTCTAGTGATCTTGTACAACCCCCACTCCCAACTCTCAACATGACTTCTTGAAGGCCTCGATCCTAAGTTGCTCCTCTTGACATCAACAGACCCCAAAACCCCAATAGCCCCACAGCATTCACAAAAGCCGCCGTTTACTCTGAGAATCGCACCGCTGACACGAGCCCGGAGAGCAGTAGGACGTGAGCTAAGGGATACAGCTTATTGAAGTAGCGCACCTCAGATGAGCTGTTGCATATGTGTTTTCTCAACTTTCGCGTCTCTCTGGTTTCCACCCTCCAAACCCACAGCATGTTCCAATGCGTGAAGCTAAGCACCCATGTGCCTTGTCTCCTTCCCAAATGCGTACTTCTTGTCTAGCCATGACTAATCTCCTGCACCGGTAGACTCAACCGTGCCGAACCATAATCCCTACAACCCACAACCTTGGTAGCCTAGAGCTGTCCCGAGGACAAGGCTTGCCGAAGCAGATCTTGCGCCAGCCCGTGGACTGCCCTGGATGAGGCATTGAGGACAATAAAGGCTCGAAGGTTTGGGGGTATGAGGGCTTAGGGTCTCAAGACTTAGTGCGGGGAAAGGTTTAGGGGCTAGCGTGCAGGGTTTAGGGCTCGAAGACTTGAGGATCCTTGAATTGAACAGCTGTTTACCTGGGTTACCTTTTAAGTTTTCTTGTAGTCTCATAACTTCTGCTTCCTCGGTGGTCACGATCCTATGGGTTCTGGCAGTAGCCGAAGGATCTCTGAAGCCCTAAATGGCCTTCGACTATAAGGCAGAACCACTCAAAACAATCATGGAAGCACCAGTCCTATAGTCCCAGCTGTATGAGTAGTGGCTGCAGCCTCCATAGCAGGCAGAAGCATGGCTACTCACGTGTCCAGGCTTTCGGGACATACCGTGCGCACTAATAGCAGCGATGCTGGCGGGCTGTTTTTGACGAAGCCTGTTCGACGATTCTGCACACCGTGGGAGTTTCTCAATACGTAGGGTCACACCAAGTACACTAATACTCAGAACTGTTTTGAGGACCTTGAAGAAATCCAAAATTTTGAGAAAGCCCTACGCATCTGAACGAGCTGCCTTTTCTTACAACCTGCAGCGGACGACTTCAGACCAGCACGCTCGTGCATGAAAATGGACAGCATCTGTTTAAGGTTCTGTCGCTGTACGAGGTAGAGGCTTAAACCATACAAGGTCTAGGAAACGTCCTGGGTTATGATGAGCACGAGCAGCCATGCCAAGCATGATGGGAAGTTCATAGCTAGTGAGACCTGCAGCGAAGACATGGCAATCGAACATGCACTTTCTTGAAAACCTTGAGGTACATCAATTCAGACGTGTAGCTGTCATCTTCTTGGATTGAAGCAGATACTCCAAAAATCGAGGAGGTAGGTGTCCTACATGCTGCGCAATTACACCTTAGCCGGGGAAGAGCGTCCGGTGCTGAAAAGGCAACCAGCAATCAAAGCTTCAGATGTTGCGCTTCTTCCCATCCCCTAGAGCAGCGGTGCCGTTTCAGGTTCGTACCGCAGCATCACTTAAGGCTGCACAAGTTTCCCGATTCAAAGACGTCTTGACAGATTTCAAGAATGATGGCTGAAAGCAATCGCTGCTCACTTTGGGGCTTTGAAGTGTGGCTGCTTCCAAGCGGGAAGAGAGCTGGTCATCCGCTCAGCATCTGCGAGGTCCTGTTTGGCTTAGGGTGTAGAACTGTAGGATGTTGGAACCTTGGGTTTGCGCGTATGGTTTTCAGGCGCTTCGGGATTCGATTGTGATGCGTCGCGATTCCTGACTTGTTCAAGAATTCATAGTGAAGGGCTGGATGGCTGCCTCAACGACGTGCGCCACATACTGCTCGAACGCTACAAAATAAGTCAAAGGACCGCCGGCCAAGGAGACCATGCTTGCCCGTTCCCATGACATCTGTCGGAATGAAAGTTATCAGACACGCTTTTACTGCGGCTTCAATACCGACCGTGCTGAGCTGTAGGTGGGCACAGTCTGCTCAGAATTTTCTCGGAAAAAAAAACTCAAGCGCATTTTTCATGGCGCAACGCTCCAACCTCGAATCCTAAAAGTGATCTGAAGCACAGCGAAATCGATGAAGAGCTTCTGGGCCTCCGGGGCTCGTCAAGCCCTGTGTTTATAAGGTTCAGGATTCCAAGTTTGAGGGGGTTGGCGTATGTCAAGTCGTATTCACGGGCCCGGAATTCCATAAGGATACTCCTTTTGGGGAAGGTCCAGTCAGTGGGGGAATTCAAACATCCTCCTTGCCAGGATCCAAGTAAATCGGGGGCCCCTCTCAGGTCTGGCATCCTTCCTGCGGATGTTGAACCAGCACCTTGAACCTTTAATTCCACCTACCCCCTCCCCCTAAAAACAAGCTGAATAGATTGTTTCGGCGTTGAAGGTCCTTCTTCAGAATGTTCAGGAGCTTTTGGGTTGGAATACGGCCCGGCTTGTTCTCATTCTCATCCTCGCAGCCTGCCGGTGGTTGAGCTTACGGTTTGGGTGTACAGGGGCTTGGCCCGGTTAAGGCTTATGGGTTTTACGCTTGACTTCTGCTACAATAGTTGGAATTGCTATTTGCTGTGTGAGTTGGAGGCTCCCGAGTAGAGAATTTGACTGCTTGGGTTTTGGGGCATTGAATCTTGAGGCTTAGCCTGCAGGTTTCTGGCTTGAATGTGACGCATACTTTACTCATTGGCGAGGCTCTTGCGTGTCTGGCCCTACCATCACCAAAAACAGAGAGCTGCCATACTCCCCTCGCTGCATGATCTGGTCGTGTCTGCGTAGTAAAGCCTACAGACCCGCGGCCCATGCAGCGAAATTCCACCAACGCGCACTAACCCAGTTTCCCCCCTCCACGCTGGCTGATCCAGTTCGGGGCATCCAGTGAAGCAATTCGGTAGTGCAGAGATTGGTCTCGAATTCGGCAAGGGCTCGGAAGCGACCAGCGAAGGATGTAATTACACAGCTTCAGAATGAGCCTATGGGTTTAGGGCGTTTACATTTCAGAGGCTGGGCTTCTGGGAGAGGCTGCTCATGCCAGTGCTGTAAGACTACTCCGTCATGCGAAGGCCTGGAAGGACAGGCTGGAAAAACTAAAGCCCTGCTGGGCTGACCCCGCTCTATCCTGAATAGTGTGACACTTGCTATCATAATGTGTGACAATTGCAGCTACCAATACCTAAGAACCGCCTACCAAAGTAGAAGGCGCGTGCTGCCGTTGTTGAAATTAGATTAGATGTCTCTGTGTGAAGTTTTTGTTTTTTCGGCGGGGGCTTGAGGTGGAGCCTAGATAATTCAAGGTTCAGGGTTCTCGCCGCGATTGTTCTTCATTCCGTGCGTCATGCTTGGATCAATGGAGGCATGTCAACACATTTATCCGACGATTCCGCATCCCCAATGCTTTCCCTTTCTGCAGTCAAAGTATGGAATTCAAGAATAGGGCTTCTGGATCCTCTAGCGGTCTGACAGAAGAAGCACAGCCTTCAGACCTGCCCGTCAGCCCTTCATACCTTATGCTACTTATATCCTCCAGGATCTTGGAATATCTTGGAAAGTGCCAGCGAGGCAGGCAGGTCCCTTCCGCATACCCTGATTTGAAGCCATGCCCTCAGTTACCCACTTTGCTTCAGCACCTTAACGAGCAAACGTAAGAGCCGAAATAATTGAAGCCTGCGAAAGGCTGCGCGATGCAAACAGCCACTTCGAGCAGAGCATGGTACAGGAAAGGTCCAATGGTACCTTGGATGGTCTGTGCTTTAATGTTCAGGCTTGTAGATTCTCGCCCGGGGTTGAGTTCGAATCCGCATCCGTTCTATCCTGAAGTGCAGTCAGACTTCAACTAGGAGTTTTAGTTTGGTGGTCCAGCTTGATCGTGCTTCAAGATCATTAGCCGGAAGTTTCCTAGCATCGTAATCCCTCCAAAAGGACGGCTGTAATCCCTGGCATCCATGAAGGTAATGGATCTATATTGATTACACCTCGTAATTGGGGTCCAGGTATTTGGGGGAATGTAACGGGGCCCGCCGCAAGGCCTGCATCTACATGCCAAACGTTTCATGTGTTGGGTGTTGAGCACTTCTTTTGACTAATAATTGGTATTCGGACTAGTGACGAGTACTCTTGTTCCCTGTTTACGGTGTCAATGAAGATTGTTGAGATTATTCTGCCGTCTCATGTGGTAGTTTTCCGAATTGCGGGGACCCCAACATAGACCCAAATATATTATACCATAATCCTGATAATGGGGACTCCCAAAACGGTACCCCTAATTATGGGAAGCCCCCATATTACCACTACTATACCGGTACCATTACCATGTGCAGCCAAGCACTAATGAGGAAGGCGATTCCGACATCCTGCAAGTCCTGGAGGCAGCCCAAGTTTAGCATACTGAGGGCTAGTACGAAATAGAGTTTAGAAAGCAATGAGTATTGCATAGGGACTATATATCCTTATTCTCTACTAAGAGCCAATAAGTCTGGACAGAAGAATGGCTTATCTGGCTTTGCAAGCTTGGGGGTTGGTATTCGGGTGTACAGCTCGGAGTCTCAAGCAAAATCCTGAGCAGATTCTAGACTATTTCGGTGTTGGGTACTACCAAGTGTTCCAGTTCGACATTGCCTTTCAGGGGCTGTCGTAAATGCCTTCTCGGGACTGTCACAAATAAAGGAGCATACGGGCCTCAAGATACTTTGAGGACATAGCTGGAGCAGCACAATGGACCCTAATTTAACTGATACTCACATAACGGGAAGGTGACCACCCATAACTTCTATCTGCTCCCATCTAGCATTCAACAAGTGGGGTCTATCACAATATCTCTGCTCAGGCAGCATCTTTACCTTGGGATCCTACCGGGACCCAAAGTCTTCACAAAGTTTGCAAGTTACCTCATGAAATCACCTTGATTGCAGCCATAAGCCCTACTCCCACTTCTACTCGGAACCTTCGAGATGATTTCGGGGCTGGCAGCATGATGCCCGCGCTTAGCCTCAGCAAGCACAGAGCTCCAGCGGGGACCAAAGGAATGGAGATTGTTTCTTAAGCTGTTCGTATTTCGATCCGGCTGTTGGGGCTGCTGCGAAGATCCAGTCTCTCACTGCATGCTAGCCACGAGGGCCTGTCTCGCGGTCATGGCTTTTTGTGAGGTCCATAGGAGAACGGCAATTCATCTTCCGCCCTATCATGGATCAGGGATCTTCACCAAAAGAGCCTTGTGATTAGATCTGTTGCCACGGAACATCTCATTCCAAGAAGATCCGTCTTGGGTCAAAAGAACAATTCTCCAAGATTCCTCAAAACCCCTCGTGAACATCAGCGCATCCCCGGTTGGGCCCCAGGCCAAGCTCAGCGTGACGCCCAAAGTCATGCCGAAACTCACTGAAATCAAGATGTTGTTCACCTGCAAAATTGAGGGCTTTCAACTTGGGATGTACGAAGGAGGGGTCTAATAAAAGGTGGGGGTTCCAGAACAAACTACCTCCGCA